CAGAGGTTTGTCTACTTATATCGCTGTCTCTCTTTGTGTCTTCACTGTCCTTTTTTGACAGACTCGAAGGCATCAAAATGATGTCTTTCCAAATGCCGCTTCAAATTTGAAGTTTTATTGATGAACCTGAGATTGCAAACGGCCCCATCTTTCTTTAATACTTGGCAGATTAGTGCATTTTTATCTCCACTCTCTTTGAAATATTTGAACACTGCAGACTTTTTACTTTTGCAAGCCATGGTACAAGGGTTGCATTCTTACAAATTAATTTTCTCTAATTTAATATTAACTACTATTTAAAATGAAATATTATATTGTCATGAATGGCATTAAGATTAGGTAAGCATTTTCTACAAGCGAGAAATTGTATCGTATACAATATACATCAACTTGCCATTCCGACACTTAGGCATGCAAGCCAGCATGTCATGTTTCAGCATTGCTTGGACATGCCCAGACATGTCTACGTGGTCGTTACTGTTAGTTACTTCACAAAGGTAAATTAGCGATCGGCCGATCGCTTTTTTCTTGTCCACAATTGCCGATGTATTGCGCAAGCCACACCTGTACTACAATCAATTATTGCGCAATCCCGATTTCGACAAAATCCACTGAGCACACTCCATGTGACCTACCGCGTCGCAATTTATGAGACGAAGACAAGAAAACAAATCGCATTTTTTTCGGAATCCATTTTACGTTATATACAACCAAGCTGAGAAAGCCGATGACCTAACCTTATATACGACACTCCAGATCTAAATTCGGAAATATTACTTAATATTTAGGGATTCCCAAATAGTCAAAACGCCCCTCTTTGCAATATAGTTTTGTTTTTTACTAGTAGTCGTTAGCGGCAATGCGGTTTTTTAGATCGCCGAAATCAAATTATTCGCAAATAATATTTCTGAGAAATTTTAGTCGTCTGTTTTTTTTTATCTACAAAAGTATTTTAACACTTGCCAGTAAATACCATTTATTAGAAAAAGAAAAGCAGCGAGGAGTTGTAATCAGGTAATCGTAAAATAGCCGGTTGCATTGGCCACTAATCGACATCAATAAATATTAGTATACATATATATATGGTAATTTGATCGTATAGCAAAAAATGAATTAAGTGTGCAACCCCGTTAACGACCGCGACTGCTTGTAGTTCTCAAGCATGAAACTTAAGTTTCACAGAAAACAGTATATCAGAATGCATTACCGCTATTTTTCACGACAAAATAACTTTATCAGTCCATATTGCTATATCAAAGTATTCCGATACTTTTTCAAATTTTAAAGTAATAGTCACTTTTCGCAAGCTGTTTGTTTGTTTCGTTTCGGTGCAAAATCTTCAAACGATTTTATGCACTTTATCATGTGTTTTTAAGACGACAAAATAGAATTGTTAGATTGTTTGGTATATATATTCATTTTTCAGTGCGCGTTACAGCATTCTTTCACGGTTGCGTGGTGGATATTGTCGCCATTTTCGCATTTATTTCCAGTTACGTCGGGAAATTATTAATTATGTAAAGTTATTATTAATAACTAAACGCACTCACTTTTAGAAAACCTTCCCGCAAAGCGTTTATTCTCGCCAATCCCGCGAGCGAATGGAAGTGAAATCAAAATTTGAATATTATTATGTTCACACGTCTCGCTTAGATCCAACCAAGGTCATATATTAAATAAGTTGTTTTCATACGTTTTGTTACAATACCTCAATAAACTTTCGCAAGTCGGGAAAATAAGTTGCTTTATTGGGAAGATTAGGAAAATATAATTTATACTTTTTCCTGCGCTTTGGCGAATAATTTTGTTTATAATATTTAAAAAAAAACGACTTGTCCGAAAATAATTTTCTATTGTGCTAAAAATGTAACCCGTTACCGATACCAGCACTTGCCTTATTGTTTTATTCTGTTCAAAGTAACTCAATGTTGCGTCGACTTACGAAATAATAAAAGAATCTCTAACATAAATGACAAGCTACGGACGTAAAATGTGTGGAAAACTGCCCGATTATAATTAATTTTGATTCATATTTTTGCGATCTTGCCAAATCGTTATCGCCGTTTGAAAATACCAAGATCCGTGATATGATCCAACACTATTTACTTTAGAACAATAGTAACTTGATTAATTATACAACTATTTAGTTCTGTTAAGTGTTTGGAGATGCCAGAAATTATAGAATTAGAAATTATTAAAAAATCAGAAAAGTAAAAAAAAAAATAATTCTATTGTCAGGAGCTGGAGCCGCTGAAATTTCTGGCAGCTCCGGCTCTGGCTCCAGCTCCATCTATCATGGCCAGCTCAGCTCCAACTCCGGCTCCATGGCTCCAAGCTCCAGCTCCGACTCCCCAGCCCTGGCTCCTATATCCATGGCTGATTAGCTAGAGATGGCATAGGAAAACTACAGCCCATTGGGTAATTCAATCTGGCCAGCCTGATGCTGCCACAACCAAACAGAAACCAAATTTTGATGTTTTAGCTAAAAAATAGCTCAAGGAATTGTTCGAAATAAATTTAGTTTTGGCACGAGGCTTATTGTTTTCCAATTTAGCGTTTGTAACACTGCAAACATTGTTCATAAAATTCAAGTCACACTTACTTGGCAGTTTCGGTAGGTAAAATTTTTGGCCCCTGGTTTAAGTTAAAAACCTTACCCACCCCTGAGCTAGAGTCATGTTTGCAAAAAGGACGTGAAACCACCCGATAAATATGTTCACTAGAACATAGGTTCTCAAAGTGCCCATGGCTCTGAAAGAGAAACCTAGGGGCTCCACGAGCTATTTGTTTACTTATTAAAATCGGTCATAATCGAAAAATGTTTTCAATCAAAACGTGGACGGAAGGCGCTAGGATGTGTGCGTGATATCAATTTCCACTAAAAACGATATTTCGAAGGTAGCAAATAGCCATATTGAATATTAAATTCAAATTGAACATCTCTGGTTGTGTTAGGTGTGTATGGCCTTCTACGATTCGTAGTGTTGGCTTATATGCGAATTTTTATAAATTCCCCGCTTTAAGGGTGTTTTTAGGGGATCGGCTTATATGCGAGGATATATGGTAAGTAGGAAAGAATAGTTTATGTCTGAGTTTTTCAAGAATGGACCCTGGTTCTTGTCCAAGAGGCTCATGAGGCTTGTTATGGAGTAGCACATGCAAAAGCCATCACATGGTGCCAGTCGCGATGACCATATTATTTTAGTAAAAGGAACCGCATTTGATCATTTCTTTAACAGTAATGCATCTACTCATTTGTTTGTTGGCTTTTTAATATTGAACGTGGCAAATATAAGAACTGATGGTAAGGTCTTAGAAGCAAAATCAGGTATTATATAAATGAAGTGTTTGTCTCACCATCAGATGTCAAATCAAGAAAATTTTCATATAAACAGTTTTAAATCATTCCCGAAATTAAAATTTGATATATCAAATGAGATTTGAATCCAAACTGTGTTACTTGCAATGCCAATACAGTAATGTCCAATGCTTCAACCCCGTGGTTCCAAATCTTTTTCATGAAATCCCCCCCCCCCCCTTTTCTTATTTTGAAACTCTTATCCTCCCTCACTACACATTTAATAATACTTTACTAATTCAATCTTCAATGAATCCTTACTAATACTGGAGACATTGGAGAAATAAATAGCGAAGGGAGCTTCAAGGCTATTAAGCTAGTGTCATGACCATGTCACACTCCTGATTCACATACATAATACATACTTCAGTAATAATAAAGAACTGAAGAATATTAGTAAAACTACAGTCATGAAATACATGGCAGAATTCCTGCCAAAGAATGACAATACAACCCCGACCCTTGAGCTTTTTTTTTTAGCTGAAACAACGAAATTTGTTTGTTTGGTTGTGGCAGCATCAGGCAGGCCAGATTGAATTACCAAACAGGCATTTGATCGGCGCTACATGCGAGCGCGTTTTTGTACATACAAACCATTATGAGGCTACTGATATCTGCATGTTATAGTTCTCTCTAAAATTAATTTTCGCGATTTTCAGTGTTTTATTTCTGAATGCGGATACCCGCTGACTACGGATAAATGGTCGATGTTTAAAATAGGACTTGCAAAATATTCACCAACACCGACAGGCAAAGAAAGGTGTGCTATATGTAACTGGAATTTCGCTGTGAACGACCATACCTTTTAATTTATTAAACGCATTATGTCGTCGTGAAACACACTTTTGGTGCAATGTTTTAATTTCAATTTTCGAGAATCATCCTCGTTGTATTTCGTGTTCCTTCGCAAATTCTGCCTATATATGATGTTTCTACCAGATTTTAACTAACTCGCACGCAAATCAAGGCATGCCGACATTTTAAAAAATTGCTTGTCTTTGCGTAAGCTCTGAAATAGTATAACATTAATGTAAACGAGAAATTAGGCTAAAAGCTAGTTTAAGATCACGAAACGGGGAAAGATTTTAGAAGTGATCTTGTGTAATATTTAGGAGAAAAAGTTTGAAGGGAAAGTAGGTTAACTTATCTCTTAAAACAGCGGGTGGTGTCTATCAAAATGATATTGCTTAATATATTGGAGAAAAAAATCTTCGGAGTGAAAGTAGGTTACCCTATCTCGTAAAGCGGGAGATGACTTTCAAAGTAATATTGAGCAAATGTGCAATATTTTGGAGAAAAAGGTTTGAAAGAAAAGTAGGTTAACTTATCGCTTGCTTGAAACAGCGGGTGGCCTCTATCAAAGTGATATTGCTTAAATAGCAGAGAAAAAAATCTTCGGAGTGAAAGTAGGTTAACCTATCTCGTAAAGCGGGAGATGACTTTCAAAGTAATATTGTGCAATATTTTGGAGAAAAGGGTTTGAAGGGAAAGTAGGTTAGCCCTTTTTTTTCAACAACACAACAATCGATGAAGAATGAAAAAGGGAGCCGGAGAAACATGACGTCAAACAATCTTATAAAACTGGAAGAGGAGCGACTACTTTCAAGCATATTCTATCGAACGAGGAAGCGTGGTTAAAGCGATAGCGCCCAGATTTGACCTACCTACGAGGAGGGAAAAAGTTTGTCATAGATTTATTATGATAAAATAGGCTTAGCTTAGAATATGAATCATCGCATGGTGTGTTAGTGTGCAATCAATTTGTGGTAGATTAATTACAATTCCACTTCCTAATATTACGTTAAGCCAATTTTACCCGTAATTATGAACGAGGCATTTACCACTTTACTTTCTTAGAAATTATTTTAGTAGGCATGGCAGAGAAAAAGAAACAACGACATGATATTTTGGAGCTTGACGTCGGAGCTTGACGCTTGGACGGAGAAATGGAAAAGAGAGTTTCCATATATTATACACGATAAGAAAATAAGAACCGCAATCTGCACGTATGTTACTTACATTTCTGAGTTCATTATAAGAAAATTAGACAATATGGACCTTTGATCGAAGAATTCACAAACAAGGAGGCAGTAGTGATGATATGGCAGAATCTTCGTCATGATCTGCATATTCTCCAAATACCGGCTATGGAGAACGTAAGTTCTAATCGGTAGCTACCATTTGTATTTATTTGTCGTATGCTTCTGATCTCTCATCCAACACACACGCACTTAGCTTCGAAGCATATGAAACCTAATTTAATATATGCAAATAAATACAGGTATGCAAGTACTTAGCGGCAGCGCCCGAGTACCCATGCTTTCAAGTGCTGGGCAAAGTCCTACAAGTTTTCGCAGCCGGTACCTCGGGGGCCGAACGAGGGTTTTCTTCAATAAACATAATTAAGACGAAACACAGGTGAAAATTATTATAACAATTTTGAAAGTATGAGAATTTGAGCAAACTTCTTACTTATTTATTTAGAAAATAGGACTATATTTGATATTGATGAATACCACTTTTGTAGGAATAGGCTTAGCAGCAGACACCTAACAATGCTTCTGAGATGTGGCGGGGAGACATCCATAAGAGCAGACAAAGCGGAATCATTCTTCATGGATGTCTTGCAACATTGGAAAGAGTCCAAGCTACGTCGCCACGAACGGGCTGCAGAAGTCACGCCATCCATTTTTATTTGTTCGCTTTTGTATTTTTATTTGTGAATAAAACAAATGTGTCAACTGTGCAATTTTGTTACTTGATATCGAAGCCTTGTAACTTTCTCTCGTTGAAAACAAGGGTTGACCCCCGGGATATTTGGTGGACCACTCATGCAAAATGTATGTTATGATTTGAGAAAAATACCGTCGTTACTTTTTAAATAACAAATTGATAATTATCCGATTGGTTCTGGCTCCGCCTGCAAATCCTTTTATGCACAGACCTCATGTGGAAACACCATGTAACAGTTATCTGAAACGACCAAACATTAATGTAATCCTAAGGCGAAGTTTGGTATCGATCTATGGCCGGCAGTAACACGAATGTGCAAGGCTTTGCTGGTCATTCGAGCAATTGACTCCGGTGGTTGATTGCAGGAAAGTTTCGTTCACGACAGGTGTGCCAAGCAGGTGTCCTTTCGTTAGTGATGAATTTGCTTCAAATCGCGACAGGTGTGCTCAGCAGGTGTCTTTCCTTGCCGATGAATTCTCTCCTTTTAATCAAGATTTTAAAGGAACAGAGAGACTCTTTTTAATTCGTGAAATTCACAGAATGAGCGCTGTTTCCAGTATTTATGTCTGAAATGAGTTCTAACAAAAGCTAGGGCACCTAACTTGTTAAAATCGAAAAAAGCACTTTGTTGTTAAAATCGAAAAAAAGCACTTTCGCACTTTTTTTTTCGACTGCGAAGCACTTTCGCACTCATAATTTCCTTAGAGTTAACACTGGTCATGACCAAGTCGCACACCCGATTTACATACATAATACATATTTTAGTAATAATAAAGAACCTAAGAATATAAGTAAAACTACAGGCATGTAATACATGGCAGAATTCCTCCCAAAGAATGACAATACAACCCCGAACCCTTGAGCTTTTTTTTAGCTGAAACAACGAAATTTGTTTGTTTGGTTTTAGTTTGGTTGTGGCAGCATCAGGCAGGCCAGATTGAATTACCAAACAGGCCGGTTTCGGACAGCGTCACATAGTTTGCCCGAGTTAGGCTTTAACCCCATCATTTTAGATATCCCTGTCTCACACTCACCTGTTCAAGTCTTGTAAAATCCTATTTGCATGTCCATTAGTCTTCACTTTAATTTCGAGAGGCATTTTACTGATATTTCTAACTATTGACTCTGTAATTCAAAGCTAAATATGAGTTATATAACAGTTATAAATAGCCATGTAGAAGTTGTCATAGGTGTTCAGAATACAATTTAGAATGTATAGCTAATTTCTCTCAAACTAAAGTCTTACTTTTTGTCATAAAATTAAAAGAGAACAGGACAATGTATCGCATCAGGCTTAATATTGGGAATATGCCCGACACCGCACCTTTGATTACCTTGCGCAAGTGCGCAGGTTCGAATCCTCTGTGAGGGATAATTATGTGCGAGAGGATTGCCGGACTCCTCACGGCCGTAGGGTGATTCACGTAACATTAACCACTGGTTGGCTTTGCCTTCCTCCACCATCAAGTTCATGCATCTGAAAATGAATAACTGGCTAACTAATCCCACACCCGACATGGACTGGTAACCAGACTAGACGCTCTGGTCCATATGATTGGGCCATATTACTGACTTTCATAAGGGAATAAATATGTAAATCCTATTCTATCCTAAAAATCAAGTAGTAAAATGTTCAATCAAATGCTTCATTATGATTTACTGACTTTTCAGACCCGGCTCTTGGGATCATGCTGGTTTATAGGACATTTGAATATATTTTCTAAAGTAGTGGCAAATTTATGGTAACCTGTCGGACGTCGGTATTAGTACACACCAATTTATCAACTGTTTTTCTAGTTATATTGAGCTCCTTCAAGCCTTGTGTCATTTGGTATTTACTAAAACCTAGTTAATCAATATAAATCTTTACCATGTCAACAGCTCTTGACACTTCTGTTGTGTCCTGTAACTTATCTAAAAAGACCTCTTTTGCTTTTGACTTCATGTGCATGACCTTGCTTAGAGAAATATTCTCATAACAAAAATTGTCAAGTTGTCTTATCAGCTTTCCTCTCTTGGAGGATAACTTTCTGGATAAAGAGCAGTCTGGCAATGTTGAGGCCAAAGTTCACGACATTCCTGATTGTTATAAACATAAATCCACATGCAATCGGAATCCATATAAAAACCGACGATAGCCAACTCTTCACAGATAAATGTGATGTTTCGTGCATAAAAATAATCCAAAATATAACGATTACAAGTCCGCCAAACTCCCTCCCCACTTCATCATGCACCACCCAGTGGATGAAATTATTCTGGTAGTTTTGATGAAACAAATACGCAGATAAAATAGTTCCAAAGAAAATATATCCAAAGTCAAAAACTTTTATTAATTTTGATTCCGATAGCGACGGCTTAAAACCAATTAATCCAGAAATGATAGCAGGAGCCAGATATGCTGGAATCCATAGCTCAGGATCTGGGTCATTGTATTGTACAAATGCTGACAAAATGAAGAAACTTGCAGCAATGAAATTGAGAATACGAAATATCACCAAAGCTAGCATTATCACATTTTAAAGATTAGATTCTGAAAAATAGAAAACAGTCTTCAGGTTAAATTTGTATCATACTTAGGAAAAACATAAAACTCTGAACTGTTCAACTTACGATTTGACCTAAAGACAACATGGGAAACTAGAAAGTTGCGGCCACAGCACTCTGACACATAAGTATTGCGCTTATTCTGACTAGTCATGCTTCAATGATTCCCATTCCCAAATATGTAAATACCAGTGTCGAGTAGAAGTCGCATTTCAAGTCGAGTCACAGGTCATTCGAAATTCACATTCGAGTCACAATGTCTTGTAAAAGTAATAATAACAGATTTCCTAAACAACAGTGAAATGGATAAATATGAGTCGCAATGACACCAAGAAATGAAACCTGCCTAAATTAACTTGTCCCATTCTCAACAGAACGTACAGTGTTTCTGCCTACAATTGCATAGGAAAAACGATAGGCTAAGCCTACTCTAATACAGTAATTCCCAATAATAAAAAAAATTTGTAATATTTATAACACAAGGATATGCTCACATGAATGAACAACATCTACTAATGAATAACACCTAAATACTTTATATAAACTAAACAATGATATCTACTAGAAAATGAAAGAGGCACGCCGGCAATCTTTACTAAGCTTTTTTGAAAAACAAGGGTTCTGCTACCCATAGGTTAACAAAAGTTTTGTGCTGAGATAGATTTCTATATGATTAAAAGGATTTTGGATTTGTTCAGTTATAAACAACTTTACTAAGATTTGACCTTGACCTAACATGAAAAACCAAAAGGTTAATATCGTAGAAATAGCAGCACAATCACTGATATATTAAGATTAGAATATTCTGGCCAGCCATGCCTCAATAACTATCATCAGGTTTTTGGGTTGAATCACACTAGACCGAAATCAAAACTTAAATCAGTCTTCAAACGGGAAATAATTCCTCTGATTTTAGACTTGTTCAGTGCTAGTCAACTTTACCGTGATTTGACCTTATCGTAACATGAAAAACCAAGAGGTTAGAAATAGCAGCACAATCACCTTTAAATTAGAATGAGAATATTCTGACCAGTCATGCCTCAATAGTTAGAATCCAACTAAACCAGATTCAAAACTTCAATCTGTCTGTGAATTGGTAACAATTCCCCTAACAATTTTTAGTCGAATTAACAGCTCGAATTTAGGAAAATATTTTCTATACAAGGATAAAAGCTGATAGCTCAGAACAGTAGTATGAAATATTGAATATATTTTAATTCTGTAATTTGAAATTTGTTAAATTCAGTGAAACTAGAACAAGCAATTGCAAATATATAATTCAGTCAGAATACCTATTTATTTCAGGAATACAGGAATAGGGTGGTTCAAATTCATCGGCGCGGCGGTGTGGCTCAACGGGCTAAGCATTAGGAATACGCTCGCCACCGCACCTCTAATTACTCTGCGTGGGTTCGCAGGTTCGAATCCCATGCAGGGATGGTTATGTGCGAGAGGATTGCTGGACTCCTCGCCGTCGTTGGGTGGTTCACGTAACCGCTGGTCGGTTACGGCTTCCTCCACCACCAAGTCCATGCTTCCGAAACCCCCCCCCCCCCAAGGGATAAATATGTAAATCCTATCCTAAATAACTGCTGCTTCAACTTTCTCCTCCACTGAGTCCACGCATCTGAAACAAACTGGCTAATCAATTCCATATCGGTAACCGACATGAACTGGTAACTGGACGAGAAGCTGTGGCTTGCAATCGGCTCTCCTCTCCCCGAAATAAATATGTAAATTCTATCCTTTGTCAATCATGCTGAAGTAATAACATTCAGTAGGCCTACCGTACTTTCCAAATTTCAATTCAAACAAATACTGAAATATGTGGTTCTTCTGTTTTTACAGTAGTAAGTAGTTAGGAATATCAAAATATACTTATACTGATATCAATATTATATTTATAGTCTATATCAATTTCATTTAAATTTCCAAATTCTTCTTCTGCATGCAAAATTGCCTATACTAAAAAATTCGGTACCGGTACCATTATACTGTTATATAAGTTTTTACAAAACGAATTAACATCCCAGACTGCCAGACCCAGAATTTACAGCATTCAGGATCAGCTGTATTTATATATATTTACTGCAAGGTTAATCCTGGCGATTTCTCAGCTATTATAAATGTATACGATCATTTGAATCATTAGGTTTTCAAAAATCAGAGACTGAGGAGGTCGTTAGGATTCTATTACATTAAACTTTATCTAACTGAATTAAGGCTGTTTTATTCCAAGCGCAACACTTTTTTACTCCATGTAAATTATCCACGGATTCCAACAATTACAGAAATATGTGTCTTTTATCATTTTAAATTAAGTTATAAGCATTGCCCGATTTTGAATCATGTCCATATTTTTTTGTATACTCGTATTATTTTATTTTTTGGTGGGTGGGCGCGTATTTGTACGTTTTTTAATTTATTCTCGCCTTCCAGGTATTTCTGTATTTGTTGTCTGTTTTC